CTTCCCTTCCGCCTGGAACCCCCCAGAGTCGAACTTTGCAAATGGGGGAGCTTCGTTTACCCCGCTCCAACCACCCCCTTTCTCCTCCTTGTCCGAGTTTCTTTGAATTCCACTTGCCCCGCGACAATGACTTAAGTTTCATTCCTTTCGGATAGTTCTCGACCCCGCCTGTTTCCCTGTCCTGTCCGCCGTGTAATTTGCGCTTATCGACTTTCGGCCCGATCCGCTTTTTCCAAACAAATAAACGGCCGGCGCGGACTCCCATCGAACGACCTGAAATGGACAGTGTTCGAAAATGGCTGGCTACGGTACTCGTCGCAAAACATTAATTTTTATTTGACGTCCACTTGTGCGTAGTTGGTCATTTAATTCGCAAGCGGTGGGAAGTTGCGAAACGTATAAATGTTGAAGCGAGGAATATAGGTCGCCTAATTTACGTTGCTTCATCCTTGTTTAGTTTGAGTGATCAGATTTCGAAATACAGTGAATCCACTCTGAGTGGCGCGGTAATTCCCCTATAAAAGACGCGCAGTTATCTCCACCGCTTTTCGAGACTGCTGGCTTGGAACGAGTCTTGGCGTTAGGTCGCCATCTTTTGATTAAGAAGACAGGCACAAAGTTTTACAAGACCCTTTGCAGGCCTCTGTGTCAGTGCACGGCGAGTACCTAAACTAGTGGCGCCACTAGTTCTACGATGGCGCCACTAGACCCACCATGGCGCCGCTGGGACAAATCCATGATTTACCTCTGTTAATAGGTGTCTCCTCTCTCTCTACGTGTATTTGCCGAATAAACTGGGCGTTTAAGGATCTCCCACGCGCAATTACCGTCCCGGTTAAGTGACGTAGAGCCTTAATATCGAAGGTATACGAGCGCTATGATAAAAAAAAAAAACCTAATAACGCGGCGCAGTAATTCCTAACGGAGCTGTCACCGCCCCACGCTGTGAGATTCAGAAACATGTATTTATTTTACGCGCTATTAGCCTGATGCGCGGGGGGCAATTGTTACGCGTTAATTATACGGCTTCGAAACGCAATTACACTTGGAAAAGTTCCCATTAAAAAGTTCTGAATAATCGATAGGCTCCGCCAACGAAATGACCTGGAAAGTCCGAGGAAAGGTTTACGATCACCTTTTCCAATCGTCAGTGGCCAATAGGTACCTAACCCAACTGATGCATTTCGGGAAACATGGTCGGGAAGATTGCTTTATCAATCATTTCGATACGAACATACTGGTCATTTAATTGGCGTGACCATCAGGTAAACTAAACTTCCCTTTTAACTAAACTTTCCTTCCATCCTATGTACGTTTCAGCCTGATGCGATAACTATGGTTGGCCAACGAAGAAACCTTCGAGGACGTCCGCAAGAAGGATCCATCCGGTTGATTTCAGATTGATAACCGAGGCTGTGGCGGCTTCGACGGTCGAGTTAAAGCTGCGCAACGTGGAACTGGCGCACATATGGAAGGGAGCTGGATGAGTTTGCGATTAAACGCGATTATGATTAAGGATAATGGAGTTTCAGCGCGGGAGTTCCCGTCGACTCTGAGTCCCTTCGCAGCTGGCGCCGTTATATCGAGTTCCTGTCGTCAGCCAGCGCACACGGTCGACCTACAAAATGCTTTAGGTCATCCGGTTTCTCTAACGTGTACCAAACACGTACCCTCGTTTTTTACATTTTGGACTGCACGCGCTGTAACAGCTATGACAATCACCTCACGATGAAAAATGTCGTTTCATAAGTCGTATCGATAACAACACATTATTATTATTGTTGCTTGAAGAGAACACAAATGAACTTTGCTCGCAACACCACAATTTGTTACAGAAACACAAAACTTTACTATTATTTAACACGTTCACGCCGGTGTGTACCACTAGTGGCTCGCGCTTGCGTGTGTATCAGATGGCGTGTACCTCTGCGCCGCCCCATGGCGAGAAACACAAGCAACAGCGCCGGCAACACTAGCGCTCTTACGGTAGCTTTGCGTACTAACGTAGAGCCGCCGGCATTAGCTCTATAATTTTCGTGGTACACCACTGTAGTATACCCGGATGGTTAGTTTAAAAAATCTAAAATCAAAAACAGGCAATAAAACAATAATAACGCAAAATCAAAGACGTAGCGACGAAGTACGAAGCCAATCGCAATATCCACACTCGTTTACGTTCTTCAATCATCGCACAGAGAGTGTGGTACCGGCCATTAAAGTATTGACCACACAACTTCCGGCGCCCTGCGTCCTTTACCTTAGTATCGTAATAATTGAGGCAATTTATAAGAAAAAGGCGCCTTCTTCTACAGCGGTGCATCTCAGAGAAGAAGCTGCGCAGGACAGTCGAGCATCAAAATGCAAGCTACGAAGGCTTTCCCGATGCAGACTAATGCAGTCTCTACCCTCTTGACAATGAAACAGGGAAGACACTGCGTTCGCTTGGGAGCAGAGTCTCGAGCTAACTTTAATTCAAAGACTTGCGCAACGAGTTCTGTCTCCGTCCAAAGAAATATCTTGGTGTACAGAAGTAGAGAGCGCCCCTTTAATTATGAAACACTATTCCCCTTCGCGCGATCCTCGGCACCTATCCTCTCCGTTTGGTTATTTATCCCCGCACGTGCGATAATAAATACCCCCGGCACGTATGTAGGGACATGTGTATCCAACGTTCAATTCCGTGTCTCATAAGTTCCCGCAGGGTGACTCACTCGCTAATGAAGACTACCACCCTCCGTTCCACGGTGGACAATGCAATTGGAATCGCTCTTCGGGGATCCCCGGCTCCTTTCCCAGACACATAGGGTTACGGGAAACGCTGTAACGGATCCCCAGGGACAGCTAGCGAAGACTGCGCGATCCTCCATCGCTATGTTCCATCCAAGTGGCTTTCCTCCCGCGATAAGAATTCCGAAAGTTCGGCCTGGTGTACCCGCCAACGGTTGGCTGGAGAAATTACGACATAATTGAGATGAACGATTCCCTCCATTCCGCGAGAGGAACTCTCGTTTTTCCCTTCGCGTATGCACGGGATTCGTTCTCCGAAAACGGGAGCCTCCAATTATGTTGAACGGCGACACGGGACGGAGGTCCTCGATAAGCGTGTAAACCATTGAACGCTCTGCGAGACCGGTTAATTATCGCGAGATCGATACCTCGGTTGGCGAGCCACGAAATCCCATTGAATTTCCGGCCGTATCCCCGTACCTCGTCGGTGGTAAAAGCAAGCAAACGCATGGTCAAGTCTGGCCGCGTTAGCGGAACGATTCTTTCGCCGAAGTTTGGAATTCCGTGTACTGATGAAATTGGACGCAAGATTAACGCCCCGTTCGCCTCGAGATCCGACCCATTCGGGGCACACAGAGAGCAGCTAAAGTCCGGCAGGAAATCCCAAAGTTATAGAGGGAACGATACTGTTTCTCTCGTTAAGTGCTGGATTCCCGTAACGGTCCCACCTCTCCTCCCTATCCCCCTCCTCCCTTCCAACCCATCCGAAAGTTAGTTTCAACAGTATCAATCGCTTAGCTGTAATCGGACAGTGACCACTGTTGCTTTGCCCAGAGACATCGATACCACACCAACCGTGAATCTTTATGAAACAATTTACCGTGTACCCTAAGTTAGTTACGTAATTAAGCTCGCTAACTGACTTCAAGGGCTCTGTATCAAGGCGTGATGTTCATGTACCTAGATCCCAGGACGCCTCTGTATTTGTATTTGTTGAGTAAATGGATCAAAGCTCGGCTGGTGATTACTTTAACCTAAAGCAAGGACTTGTCTTGCAAGGACTTGTCTTCTTTAGCAAGGTTAGGAGTTGGAACCAGAGTCTTTGCTAATGTAGTGGAAGACACTGCTAGTCCAGATGTCCAGGCTTCTTTGGCAAGGCTCATTTGCTTCTTCATTTTTCTAGGCTCAGGTGATATCAAGGGTGTAACCCTACTGGAGACGAGCCAACCCTGCCTAATGATCGGGGTAAATGGGGTTTGAGCCATTGGGGATACCTTCGAGTCCTGCCACACCAACCTGAAGTATTCCCCAGTTATTCACCGACTCTACAGCATACTTCGCAATCATTAGATTTCGTACTGCTCGATAAAAAGCATGGAGAGGGAAATAAGAGGTAATTAAAATTTATCTTGAACTTGAAAACCAGAACGATGTAGACCGATATGCAATTAAAGAATACGATTGGAACTCTGGTATACTTCGACAAATTTATTCTAAGCAACACGAATTACCTTCCTACCTTCTTTCCATTTATATGATTCTAAATTAGAAGACAAAGTAATGGATATTAAACTTCCAAGTGTTCCTTGAGTATATCTTATTACAGTTTATTAAGTGAAAGTGCTTCCAAGATAATTAATAAACAATGATTCTTCTTCGCAATTTAAGCAATTTATTTTCCTTCAACTAGGTAAGTATTGAAGTAAACGTTTACGACTTTCAACGAAGTAAGAGTTAACGTAAAGGTATCGTTAATATGCGGCGCAAATAAATTATTAAAAAAACGCGAGAAATAAATACGATAGATACGTTAATGAACAAAAGTTTAAGTAAAGAAAGTATAATAACGGTGGATTAAATAATAAAGATGCACTTCCAAGCCTGATAGTTCTAGTTCTTTCCGCCGAAAGCGCTGCAGTCTTATTCGATTCTGAGTCAATAATATTTGTTACGTCGGTAAGTACATTAAGGACTCTTAGATACTTCTAGGGAGTATATTAACTCAAGCAACTGGGTTGGACCTCTCCAAATATGAATTCAACTATTCCACCTTTAAAAATCTCATGAAGTTTCATGGTTCGCAAAGTGTTTCGTCTGAACAAGGACAAGGAACGAGTAACTAGCGCTAAACGAAGCGCGTAATGCCTCGGTAATGCCTGCGCAGCGACGTGAAATCAGGCTGGTAAGACTGGTACACTCGGTACGTTAATTACTAATGAAACTTCAAAGTAAGGGCATAGCGCATTAAAGAGCTAAAATAAGAACAACACGGATAAAAAACAGTATGGCCGTTTATTGATTACGAGGAGCACTAAAAAACACGTTAACCTAATGAACCAATTCTCTAATGATTCCGCCTTTCCGCATCAAGAACACAATAAACAAAATCGTTGTAAAGGTTCAATGGAAAAAAATATTACGAAATTCACGTTCTCTCACGAGGACACCTAAGAGCTTTATAGATTCAGCCATTGTTTACCTGTGACACTAATTCATTCGGAAGTATATCGATCGTCAAAAAATAATATCAAAATTGATACGATGAGGGGTTAAAAGGAATATTGTCGTTACACGTGTATAAAGTGATGCATCATCGATAAATAGTTACAACGATCAGCAAATAACGTTCGCTATTGTTTGTTGATTGAACAAATCCGTTTGCACAGCGTTGAGGAACATAGGAACGCTGTGTTGTCGTTGCAAGTATTGTTCAACCAACGGCACAAGCGTCGCGGAAAAGGCGGTTTCCAAAAGATCCACGCCATCCTCTCCGATGTGGAAGAACAAGAAGTCCTCCGATGACTCCGCGTACTGGCTATACAATTTGTATCGACCCTCTTTGGTTCTGTCGACTCTCCAGCCAAACAACTGGTAGCAAGCTTGGCGATACTCCTGCGACGACGCTTTAAACGCCTCCTTCAAACGGGCGATCTTGATCTCGTGCGTTTGTTTAAGTTCCGCTATTTCTAAACATCGAGAAAAATGTCCCATCACTCGATTACTAAGAAGGTGTAACTGGTATTCCTAAAAAGAAACTCGCGTTACCTTGCGTTTGAAGGACGGACGAGGTTGTGCTGGCGCCACCTTGCGCCACCTTGGCTCTTAGTTCTTCCACTTCGCGTAACAGCGCCTTATGTTTCTCTTCTGCTTGTTGCTCAGCAATAGCAGCGGGATTCATCGTGAAATGCAATACCCTCGCGTTGCAGTTGAAATCGCCTTTTAACGCTCGATGCTCTAGCTCGCCCTTCAACTGATTGATTTCCTGCCTCAATTTATTACACTCGTCCGTTTGATAGGTACCCTCGGCTGCTTGGAGATCGGATTCTAATTTGGCGACTAATTCCCTGGAATTATGGACACTCTAAGAACAGAGCATTACTTGTTCCGCGTAAGCCTTCGAATATGCAAAACGTAGAGTGGTCACTTAAAAGTAGCGCCATCTACTCAGAAAAACGGGACACTATGGATTTCAAATATGACGTTATGCTTACCGGTAGGCGTCTATAGTACGTTCCAATGCAGGAATTCTTTCGATTACCGCGTTGTTGCTGTCCACCGTTATCTCCTTCTCGTATAAGTCCAGTTGCTGCCTATAGCTGTCCCTTTCTCTCGTTACAAGCATCATTTTCTTTTGTAACCTACTCACTAGTTTGTTTAATTTCTCCTTAGAAACTGTTACATCGGTAGCCAATTTTTTTATCTCCTCGTAATTCTTTGATAAACGCTGTGATTCCCTTGTCGTGGCGTCTAATTTTGATCTGAGCTGTCCTTCTTCCGCTTTCAAGACCAATTCGGCTTGTTGCAGTCGATTTAGTTCTCGTTTCAGACCCTGTGGTCCGCCAGTGATTCCAATAGACTCGTATTCAGCTAAACGCGACGCCAGTTCTGCTTTCTTCGCCTCCAGCGTAGCGACTTGCTGTTCTACTCGCTCGGTATGCTCTAACCTGTGGGATTACGAACGTATTTTTGAAACTGATTAAAATTTGGAGCAGAGTTTGTACACAGACCTTTTCGTTACACTGGACATTTGTTCCTCTAAAAGTAATTTTCCTCGTACGGATTCCCTCAACGCGTTAATGGTCTCCTTCGCCGCGTGGAGCTCTTTCTCAAGCTCGTTTGCTCTCGCTGCTCTCGCGGTTAACATCTTCCCTTCCTCCCACAGAGCACGTTCCGATTCCAGTCGCTCAACTTTTATTTTCGTATTTTGAAGCTCTACGTTTTGCAATTCTAATTCTTGCTGCTTGGTCCGACACTCCTTCAACTTTTCTTCTAGCTGTGCTATTCGTGTCTGCGCTGCTTCGAATCTCTGGTCCGTGTACGATGTATCAGGAACTTCTTTCATCGTTGGTGGATTGTCCTCTGCGGGAGGATGGTTGATATCGCCTAACAGTTTCGAATTTTCGTTCATTAACGTCATAGTCTTCTGCTCCAAGCTTGTCTTCACCTGTAAATTATAATCCAGGCGAATGATTTATGTACAATAACGAGGTTAAAAGAAACGCTGTTAAAGATGGCTCACCTGAAACAGTTCTTTTTCCGCAGCAGCTTGCGCATCGCGTGCATCCTGAATCGTTCTGCGCGCGATATCGAGTCGTACTTCCAATTGTTTGATAGTTCTCTTATCCTCCTCTGCTTGCATCTCTAAAATACCTTTCTCCTTCTCGAAAACGTCCTCTATTTCTCTGCGTATTTTGTGTAGCTTTTGTACAGCTGCCTCCTGATGAGACAGCCTTGTTCTTAATGATACAACCTAACCCAAAAAATGTGAATGATTAAGAACCAGCCAGCAAGCAAATCAATCAAACTCATTTCATAGTGAGCAATGAAAGAGTATCACCTCTCCCTTTAATCTCCTCCATTCCCATGGACTACATGGAACATCAGTATCGCTTTTATTTAAAATGGAGGTGTTGGAATCATCAAGTTTTCTCTTCTTAGGTGTAACAGGTGATGCATCATGATCTCCTAAAGATGGGAATGTGGTTCCTGATAATCGCAAGGAGAAGCTAGTGCTACTTTTACGGAATGCTTCAGATCCTGACCGTAGATCCTTTATCATTTTGATAACACTTGTTGGATCTTTATCATCCATCTAGAACAAAATATAAAATACATTTTAAATACAATCTGTAAGTATGAAGCTTCGTACATGTATTTAAACTTTTTGAATCACAACACAAAGAAACCTAACCTATACCGGTTAGCAGGGAGATCCCATACTTATATTTGAAGGTATCGAACTTACTTTGATAAATGATGCTCTACAAAAGAGCTATTAAAAAACAGTGCAAATATCAGACTAGTTACTCAATTTCAGTTTAAATAAATAAACCTACATTGAAATAAGCGTTCAACGTATATACACTACAGTTTCTTGCGTATGTCCGATGCGCACTAGGTATAACCCTTTTTCTTCTCACACTTTTCATGTAATCTTTCGTTTTAAAGTTTTTAATTATCATTACTGCTAGCAACACTACTTCAAATCCATATTTTGTAACAGCATGACTTATACATTGTATAATAACGTTTGAAATTCCATAAGAAAATAGTTTGTTCTTAAAACGAACGCTTGTAACGCAAAATCACTAGGAAAACCTTTATGGGCGTGGTCAAGCAGTAATATATATACCATACATTAAACTGATTGGTTAGAACAGCATGCAGTATACATCCGTAACGAATTGTCACCAAATATTGACCAATAACAGCGCGAAATTGTAGAAAACCTAATATATTGTTATGCTTCGTAAAACTTTCACGATTAATTAGTTTTTAAATATTTTCAGAACGGGAATACGAATGATCCTCCAAATTTAACACAAAAATTGAATGAAGCTTATTACTAATCATATAAAAATATAAATAGTTACATGTTTCCTAAGCGTTAGCAGTTTGACTGTTAATGTCACTTACACTGCAGTGCGGAAACTTACGTGTTCCATCGGCATTCATTGATAAATAAATCGTAAAACACATCCACACTGTAAAATGAGATAGGTTTGATTTTATATTTTCCACGTAGAAGATAAACAATTGTAAAAATGTACTTGATATACTTCTGTATAAGTTTATTAATCAGCGTGTCGTCGATAGTTCATGGGGTTAGTACAGTTTACAAATATTTAACTCTATAAAAACGGTATTTAAATACACTGGACAGTCCTTCACCATCCTAATACATTTTCTTTCTATATTTCTGCAACATACATACTCCAAAATCTCCATCTGCGGAAGGTTCAAACGGTGCTCCATATTTTAAGGGAACAATTTGTAAAATTTCAGAGCGAATTGGACTACGATGGATGGTTACAGTTAAGATTATGGCATGCGTTCAATGATGAGCCTGAACCAATTTATATAGAACGAGGGAATATAACAGTGTCCAGTGTACGTAGTGGTGCATTTGTTGTTGGACAAAATGGACTACTACAACCTCAAATAAATGAATTAAAGAACCTTGCCAAACAGGATGGCAAATACAGGCTTAAGGCTGTGGCAAGAACTTCTTCAGGAAATGAAATAACATTCCTGACTTCTGTACCTGTGGTAATTACACTATTACTGTTTGTAGCAATCACATTTGCGTGCTACTTATAGTCTTCCTTCTGCACAGTGTTATCTTCTTGGTTCCGATCTTGAAGATATAATAACAGTATGGCTGGACAGCGCAGCTGAACCAATAGCTGTGAGTCAAACATCTCCTGGTCCCTGCAGTCTAGAGAGTCCACTTACAAACATGTGGACCACCAATGTTATTGTTAAATACCCTGATGGTGGACCAGTTCCAGACACAGCTACATATATTCAAAAATTAGAACGAGAAAGAGAAGCAAGAGAAAGAGGGGAGGCCAAAGATAACAGACCTTATCTTTCCAGATATGTAAGCCCTCTCTTCCAAGACAAAATCTGTAATTTTTATTTTCATACACATTATGCATCACTCTACACCTCTGTTTCAGTGGATGTACATTTTCCTTGCTTTCATCTTTGTCGTCCTGTCGTCTGCGCCAAATCCAGAAGCTGGTGGAGCGGGAGGTGGTAGTGCCCAAAGACAGTGATGCAGAGAGTGCAGTGTGTCTTCGAATGTGTTCGTGCGGGAACAGTTTATTTATCAATTTTATGATGTACATTCGTAATTACAGTTCTCATGATCATAACTGTACCTTCTCCTGAATAAACTCGATGATTTAATGTAGTCTGCTTTCATTTCTTAGTTTGTAGTATAGGGTAAAGGTTAAAAGGATGAAAGGTTAGGAAAATGGACATTAATCTATCATTATGTTACATGCAGGTGTACGTTTACTTTTTCTTTGTATTGAACTACAATAACTGTATAGTATTAACGTCTATAGTTCGAGACAGAAGGTAAATGGGGAAAATCAATAACTAACTACCCAATGAATAAGCCACAGAGTGTTGTCAGCTCTACACATTAGAGTATGTGTGATCTAACAAGGTGATTTTAAAATGGCAGCGTTTTCCCTGAATATTCAGAAACACGTGGAATCAGGCCTGGTCACCTGTGGCAAATTCGATGGCTCCCATGCCTGTTTAGCGGCGGCAACATTTGGCGGTAACATATTGGTGCACAGCCCTCACAGGCAACCGCAGATAAAGGGTCACGATCATGAACAGTCCGATAGAAAACTGTCCTGGAGCGGAGAACTGGCAGAACTTCAAATAGGAACAGAGGTACAATTACGTTTAGACGTGCTGTACATACGCTTAGCAAATCTAGGATTACGTGTCAATCAATATTTGCATGTATCATTAGATTACAGCCTTGTGCACTGGTCGCCTTAACGAAGATGAGAGGGATGTCCTCCTAATTGGAACTCCAACACACGTTCTGGCTTATCACATAGAAGATAACTCTGACATTTTCTATAAAGAGGTATTCTAGTCATGCCAAAGGCAGAAGTAAACATTGTTGCATCCATTCAACAAGTGTTATTCTTCAGTAAAGCATTATACATTTTTTTATAACAAAGTTAATCCACATTAGATGTCAGATGGTGCCAGATGCATCACTATTGGAAAATTGGGGTGGTTTCCTAACCAAGTAGCTATCGTTGGTGGCAATTGTTCAGTGACAATCTTAGACTCACAGGGCATAGAAATATTCTGGACGGTGGTGGAAGGTACCGTCAGCTCTTTAGCTGTCTTTGATTTCGATGGAGACAACGAGAACGAGGTAGATGTCTCGATATCCTCGGGGATACAATGTTTCTCGACGGTCGTTTAAATTTCCAGCTGGTCACTGGTACGGACGATTCAGAAATAAAGGTGTACAAGGAAGACAATGTGCTCTGGGATGTCAAAGAGACAGCTCCAGTAACTACCTTGACGGGACTCCCTGACAGGAGGTTCGTTTACTCGGTTGGGAACGGGACTCTAGGTGTTTACGAAATGGCGCAGAGACTTTGGCGCGTTAAAGTGGGTAGTAAGCTTAAATGTATCCGGAATTGCGTTGAAATTTGGAAATTTTCTAGTCGAAGCACAGAGTGGTAGTCACGCGGTGTTTCGACGTGAATGGAGACGGTACTCTGGAGGTTATAACTGGCTGGAATAATGGAAAGGTGGATGCAAGGTCGCCCAATAACGGAGAAGTAATCTTTAAGATTCAATTATCCTCTGGAGTGGCAGGGATCGTTGAAGCAGATTACAGGAGGATCGGCAAACCTGACTTGGTCGTGGTGTCTACCAGTGGCGAAGGTAGCGTTGAGCTAGCGTTGTTTGCTACTCGATTATTCACCGAAGTATAATTGATTATAGTGCGTGGCTATGGTGCTGGTTCCACGATGGATACCCCAGAACCAGGCGAGGCTATGCGTGACTTGCTAGCCAAGAAACAGGCATTGCAGATGGAGCTGAGGCAAAGGGCTGCGTCCGTTCCTAACATGTACCATCGAATGAAATTAGCAGTCAGTTTAATGACAGCTAACGGTGCTGCGCGGGTAGCCCTAGCATCGGGACCAGGACTTCTGGTTAGCTACAGCTTACTCATTTTCTTCGATAGACCCTGAGAATAATCTACCTGACGTTACAATTGACCTTTAGATTCACTGCGCCATAGTCTTCACCGAAGGTGTGTTCGAAGGCGAAACCCTGGTCATTCATCCCGCCAAACCGAAAGGAGAGCTGGAGATAGAGCTCCGCCCTGCGAAGAATGCTCCCGTGGACATGCACGTGAAAGTGTCCGTTGGTCCAGCTGGTGCAGACTTGATGCAGGTAGGGGACAAAGTAACATAGACGGGAATGGATGTACTCTTATTGTCTACTGGAATCCACAGGTGTTCGAGATGACACGCCAGTTGCCCAGGTTTTGCATGTACGAGGTCATCGAACGGCCAGGGCACATTGCTGATGACCTTCCTAAGAATGGGGTTAAAGCTGAGGTATTAGCTTGATAGTCACAGTTGTAAGGACTCTCAGGGACATTTCGACTATAGCAGCATCCCAATACTAAGGGAAGTATTCAGCATAGTTTATTCAGTTTGCAGAGAGACCTCAAAGGATCGCCCTCTGGCTGAACCAGAGTCTCATACTCCCTGAGGAGTTCGAAGTCAAGGAGGACGGCACCTACAATGGAGGCATCGAACTCTGGCTTCGTGGGATGAGAGACGATAAAATTCACTGCTTCGCAGCAAACGCGGCTGGGAAAGTGATCGTTCAAACTCAGGATCCCACGTTCGCAGGCGACGTTATCCAATCGTTGTCCATGTATTTAGGCATCAGAGAACTGTCCTCTGAGGTCACGTTTCCGGAGGAAGAGAAGAAGATGCTGGATGCCCTGGAACGCGTGAAAGGTACCCTATCCCGTTCAGAATGCTACATATTTTTTAGCAGATGTTGCTAAATAATGGTGGGCTGATTTATCGCAGACCTGAAGGAAATCGATATAAGACTGCAGGCAGAAGCAGCTAGTGAAACCACTCTGTTGAAGAGCATTATAATTCGTTTGGAGGATGCCAGGATCCTTGAGAATGTAGATGAAATGAGGAAGAGGTTGGTGCAACTAAAAAACGTCAACGTTGACTTGATAAAGGAACATGAGATCAAGATGAAAAGTTATAGGGACCTCACTGCAAATCTCAAGGAATTGAATCTTGGAGTGCAGAGGGCAGCTAGATTAAGGGGTAAGCTTTCCTTTATCTTGTTTAATAAAATGATACATTGATTGCATTCTTTTTTCAGTCGGCAACAGTGCATCGAACACGGTGGCCCACTGCAGAGCTGCGATCCAGGACCAAAATCCAAAAGCGCTTATTCTTGCAATAAGACACGGATGACTTTTTTATTGTTACATATGTTACATAAAATAAGCGTTGCTAATACACTTTGATAAAAATTTCGTTTTAATAAATACTTTGTACTGCCTCAATCAGCCAGATTGCACATTAACTACAAGACACGAAGGATTAATAAATATTAAACAAAAAAGGATCACTAACGATGCTCTGAACTTACCATCTGAAGGATCAAATGTGTTTTTTTTGAATACAACGTCTGGTAAAAAGTATTCGGTCTCGAATAGCTATCTTGTGGCGCCATCTACAAACTCTCTCCAATAGCTGATGTTAAAAATATAAAAATTTGGCAACTAGGATGAATATTAAAAAACTTCAAACAGTACTTTGCAACTAAAGGCAATTATTTTCGTATTTTTTCAACTTAATCAAAATTGCCTGGAGTTCAAAAACAATTGAAAATTCAGCGGTTTTTAAAAGTAAGTATTAACGAAGAGAGGCCCAAAGCTAAAACCACAATTTTTCAACGAGTCAAGCAGAGTCTATAGACTCAAGAAAGTTTTCAATCGACCATGCGTTATCCTTATCTATGATGATCGACGCCTGAAACAGGCAACCGTTCCAGCGTCCGTTACCAGCCTCAGCTGTTCAGCTATAAATATTCCCAACAGGAAAACATTGTATAACACTGTTTTGTTCATTCAAGAATTACCATTCCGTACGGTTTAGTAATCTAACCTCGACATTTTGATATCTGAACTTCAACTATCAATTTTTAATAATTGAATCAATTATGGATCATCGTAATTAACAGACGACTTGTTCGAAAAATCATGTTTTCGTCTTCCTACTCTGTTCTCGAAACGGAAGGCCGTTCCGTTCATCAGTGCATCGTTCCCCGCACGGATATACTGAATCGTCTCTTCAAGGGCACAGGCGAGGGGCGACGAAGAGCGTTGAGCGTGCTGTCCGTGGATGCCCTCACCCTGAAGGAGCTCGCCTGCTGGCCAGAATTGCCGGGCAATTCCGTCAACAGTTTAAAGATGTCGGTGAAAACGGCCATGACCTGTCAATTAAAAATAATCGGGCCAGTTTCTGCTATCGTTATATAACCTCGCCGTATTATCTATCCAGCCACTATGATCAAAGTATTTTTCTCACAAACCACGTTAAAAACCGCTCGGGCATTATCGTTCGTGCCGTTTTTTCGTCCGTACCCCTGACGAGTATTCGCGGCACGTGGAGGACCGTCACGCGCAGGCTATTCCCGTAGGTCCCTTCCATCCTCCGTGGTCTCTCCCTTCGTAACCGTCCCCCCAACGATCGTTATCGGTCGCGCAAGTCCGTTAACGCGATGCAACGCCTGCAGACGCGTCATCGACGGCAAATCTTCTCTCGAGCACTATTCACGGAGGCTCGAATCGCGAGGATCGCGAAGGGATTGGACGACGTTGGCGGATAGAAAACGACGAGGCGAAGGGGGGTGTGTGCGCTCGGCTGCAGAAGGCCGCTGATAAGGGCGGCCGACGGCGAAGTTCGTCCACCGGACGACGGTTAATTAATTGTGAAACAAATTTTTAATTACGGACACATTACGATACCGATAACGTCGGAGACACCGATGCTGGTATATCGCGCGTTCCCTCGTCGCGATACAGATTTTGTTTACGACTTCGCGATCACGCGTAAACGCCATGACTGTCTTACCCGGTGGAGTAAACACTCGTTTAGAAAAATAACGACGATTAAAGGCGGATGGTCCCGAACGATTCGCGAAACCGATTCCTCCGCTTCCGCGGTCCGGTGGGAAAACAGGCTTGGGACTTCTCGATTGAAGTTTTATGGGAATCCCAACGCGCCACGGATCTTGCATACTACCAGCGGTGGACATGTTGGCTCGAGTTTCGTGGACGTTCAGGACTGATGACGTGGCGCTACGTTATCTGCCAGTGCTTGAGGTCGATGACGTAGCGCTACGTCATCCTTCGACATTTGGGTTAACACAAGTTCCGAGGCTAAGTATGACCCTCAGGGGCTGTAGCATGCGAATATGCAGCTACGGTACGGGTTTAGCGATCCCGAGGTACCCGAGCTATGGAGGGAGCCAGCGGGCCCCAAACGGATGCGTACCAAAGACAAGACTTTGCGTCGGCATATAAGCCTAAAATTCAGGAGTTATGCAAGGCAAAGTAATTTTGAGAAGAATGGGAACAATTGCATTCAGTGCGATAACAGAATTGACAGTTACGCACGTACCAAACTCAACGGCTGAGCCAAGTCGTGTAGAGTTGAATGGTAAGCTGAAACAGTTACCTGTTCCACGGATTCCCTGACGGAGATTTCGTGGAACGCGTGGGCCTCGATCTCCTCTGCCCTTTGACGCCCTTCGGAGGGGGACACCACCCTCTCACCCGGGGTGTACGACAGGTCCGACTTGTTGGCTATTAGCATCACCACCGGTGGCACTTTTCTGGTGTTCTTCGCGCGGGACACTAGAAACCTACATCAGATACCAACAGACACGATTAGATCCTTTCATTATCACCACCATAAGAGCAAACTCGACTTGTCGATTCATGAAAAATCTTATAGGGGACCTAACTAAGACTCCCCAACTATCTTGCCTGCATGACTGCAAATGATCTGCATCAGAGAGTGAAATTGACACAGTGGGAGCAGTAATTGCAGGTATCGGGGCATTGACCTTGAGCGGTCACCCGATTGCGTCCCGACTACAGTCAAAACACAGAAGTATACTAAGCACCGTAGATAGTCTCTGTCTTTATCAACAAGTAGTCCGTACCGTCACACTTGACATCCACCGGCTCGAGATACTAAATAAGACTTATCTCGATAATGAATGGACATAAGCTCATAGGGTGTATGACCTTTTTGGTACCGAATCACTTGCCAAGCTGGAAATTTCACAATCACCTCGTTACCCCGCAACGCTTCAACACCCCGCCCCCTGCCCCTAATTCGAGGATGTCCTTTCGCGAACAGGCGACTTAAGTAAAGAATGACTGAAGCGTTGCTCGGATTTGTTAATTTGTTGTCTCACCGGAGGCGAGACGTTTCGTCGAAGCTGACCCGATCCGACACGGAGTAGACGAGGATTATGGCGTCCGCCCAGCGTAATTTGAATTCCGTTGGCGGTGGCAGGAACCCCGGCGGATCGGTTAGCTCCCACGTGGCGTCCAGGAAGCTGTCCACCTTGTAAATTCTCTCCGTGGAGCCGTCGTACTCCCCGATGAATCGCTTCGTCGCGAATCGTACGGCCAGGGCTGGGAATTATTTATAACTATATAATATTTATTACTATCATTAATCGATGATTTAAATATTTGATGGACGCATGCGAATGTAAAGGGTGTATAAAGGTTTCCTTTAAAATGGCAGCGATGAACATTTTTACGAAGCTACATGGAAATCTCTCCAGGGGAAACTCGAGGGGTCATCTGCCCGTAGATTCGTGTACACAGAGTGTCGACGAAAACGTGGCACTCTTATTCAGGTTCGAATGTCCGCGCGAGGATGAATAAAAGTGTCCTTTACCGTTTTGCAATAGGAAGATTCGTTATCGAGATATAAGCAGTTAAAGTTTACTGACGTGACTCTCGATGCGAGCTAATTATATCCCAGTCAGCTGATTGCGTGGCGCATATGCACGCGCTCGCACACGCGAAGCACGTGACCATGGCTTCCACGCGTGTACAAACTTCACCTGCCCGTATCTCGGTAACCAGGCCTCCGATTCCGAAACGGAAAAAGGACGTTTCGGTTCATATTTACGCGGGGAATTCATTCTGGAAAAAGAGCCTAAAACAAAATTTAAAAAAAAAAAGAACACTTACCCTTTTCTATACTGATAGTTCGAAGAATGGGGTTTTTAACGCATGGAGGAGCTTTATCGAGTACTGTGGTCCAAGCGCTATTGATACTATTGATTAAAAACACGGCGTCACCTTTTTAGCCCGTGTAATAGACAGCGCAGCATCAGACATAAAACGTACCATCCTTGACTATATTTAGACCAGTTCCCGCGTCACTGTTCTCTTTCGCCACCCTCGTGTCTCACCCTCGCCTTCTCTGATCACTATTCCGCCCACACCGAGCCACGACATTTCGAGGTAAGTTAGAGGTAAGTTAATTACTTTTTCTCAACCCTTTAGGAAGGTAAATCACGTGGAATAAAAACTGAGTATTAACTTACTTTATTTTAGAAAGGTTAAAGGTATCGTTAATCATCTATCTAATAGGTTATTTTGCTAGAACACCTCTCGACCACCTGGCTGACTATCCCTCCTCATAAGAATTCCAACCTGTACCTAACCCTGACCCGTCATGAGAATTCTTTTCTCACCTGTCCTACACCTGACTTACACCTACCCACGTGCAATCAACGTAAAGAAGAGGTGAAGGAATACACTCGAGTCCAAGTACGCACTGGTGGTATCTCGGTTCTGACATTAACCGATGGGACGTTAACACCTTTTTTCTGTCCGCTCTTATCTCAAGGGTATCATAGACCCCTAATTCGTGCGCTCGTATTTCAAACACTTCTGGTACAAATACGTTTTATCTCACCAGTTTTTCCGACGCCCTGGTGGCCTAACAGAATCACCCTGATGATCCTTGGCTCCTTGCTGGTGAGACCGAGGTTCCACGCGATGGGTGGGCTGATTCTTTTCTTCAACGACGCCGCCGGCGGACTGAACCTCTCCATGACTTGGCTGCCACTGTTTTCCCTCCGGGGCGGCTCATCGATTATGAACCCTCTCTTGTGCCCGATGATATTTAATAGACGCATTATTACGCATCCTTCGAGCGTCCCCTTCACCTCCGCGACTCGTGCCCGGTAAACAAACCGATCGATGGCGTTTTGTCCTTCGCAGGGGTGATACCTCGAACGCGACACTTCCAGAGACGCACATGATTTATTACTCCGTGGTATGGGAGCCGTCATTGGATAACAGCAATATAGATCAATTCTTTCGAAGGATCTATTTTTACTTTACTCGTGTCGTACTATATGAGAATACGTATGGGGGATGTATACAGGGTGTCCTGTAACTGCTGTTATAAGCGAATAGAGGATGATTTTACTTTTAAAAATTCATATTCATTCTTATTCATACTCTTACCGTATTAATCATACTCTGCTCCGTTGTGCCATTAGTTACGGGACACCCTGTGTACCCTCTTCAAAATATACTTGACAATAGAAAAATATTTGCAAAATTGGCAAGTACCTAAAATTTAATATTTAAAAATACACGAAGTTCTAAGTTTCTAGACCTTCAAATTTAAAGGGGGTCTTCGAGGACTTAATCTCTAAACCTTTCGAGCCTTGAGCCACCTTCGCATGCCACTTTTTAGGTCTGCGTTAGGTCTCTTTCGTTGTTAAGTCTGAATCTTCGAGCTCCACGGACTCGAGCTTCGACCCCGCGATGATACCTTGATTACACGACGCCCTGAACATCGCCATCCGCGCACGAGTTCCTGTTCCAGCGCTATGGGCGCCCGGAATGCGAATCGCAAAGGTCGTGACGCGTCCTAATCGTGACGGTTCGTATCAATGTCGTTAGGTCAAACTTTTAATAGCCGTTTCGCAATTTCGCGGCCCATACTCCTGGATGGAATAAAACCGGGCGTCGCGACGGCGTGCACTTAGGCCCGACGGGACTCGGCACGCGACGCACGCTTGTTATATATGAACTTTTATGTAAGAGCCGTGAGCGGTTCTTTTATCGACACGTTACGCGTCGCACTCTTAAGTGCGCCCGTTCGACAGATACTGCCCGTGTGACTCACGCTGGCGCTTGTCGATTTCCCCCCGTGGTTCGACGCACTTTCCGCGGATGGAAATTCAATTGTCTACAGGGACGTTCGCGCGAGCGCAACGTCTCCCAGAGCGCGATAGCGGTCCGAGAGTGTCTACGAGGGGAAAGTTATTAGCATCGGGCGTCGATTACAATAAAGTTGCCATGGAACGCCAGATCTATACTATATTTGATAAACACCGCAGCGTCTCGCATGATATGGAGACTTGGGGCTGCTGATTATCAATATGCGAGGCATGGATAGAGAATTTTGTATTAAGAGTTGCCTTGGAACGCTAGATCTGGATTATATGCATATGGCAAATACGGTAGCGCCCCACACGATATAGGAGACCTGGAGCTGCTGATTATCAATATGCGAGGCATAGAGAGTGAATTTTGTATCAGAACTCGCTAATAACTCTCGCTGCAATGATTATTGCAGTGCAATGGAACGTAGAAAAGGTTCTGGTTTACGCTGGTAGCTGTCGCATCGATCCACGTGCGGCACCGCTTTGAAGTTTGGTCGGCGGGTTTTTGATTTCGGCGCTGCTAGAACCTTCAGTTGTTTGTTTCAGAGTTTCTAACAGCGCAAACAAGTAGTCACGTGATCTATATTGGACAGCACTTCCGCGGCCTTTAGTGGGTTGGTGTCTGTGTGGATTATTTTTACTTTCAATCTCATCTCTCTCTCTCTTATCGCGCTCCGTCCGTGACTTTCGTCCTCAAAAACAGTTGAACAAGTACACCTAGAAAACGATACGTTTTATTAGATGTCAGAATTTCTGGGCCTAGTATTACGGTCCTGATCTACCTAAGTATAGTTCAATCAAGTATCCGTCCAATTAGTTTACCTTTCGGCCAGGTGGAGAATACCCTCACGTAACTAATCATTCTACTAATTAAATATGACGTAGATCCTCCATCACTTAGCTGACCAGCTACCTTATCAGACGTGGACTTTAACGTCTACCTAGCTGGGTCGGTTATTTTCCAATCAACCACAGATACAGGATTCCCTCGTTTATCAGATCGAGTATTTTTCCAATGAAACACTGATACGCAGCATCCTCATCTAACTGGTCCGTTACTCTGCCAATCAAGTACTGATGCAGAACGTCTACCAACCACCTGACTAGCTACTAACACGTGATCCCGACTGTCGATGTGTGATCATGTGGCCCGCATTAGACTCCAACTTCCGCGGCCTCTCGCGGACTAGCCTCCGCGTGGAGTGTTTTTATTTTAAGTCACTCTTATCTCCATCGTATCGCATGTCGTAGTATTTATCCTCAAAAACATTCCGAAAGATGCACTCGGAAGGTCTTCGTCCAGGTAATTACATAGTTCGTTACTGTTATGAAGGACCGAAGCTCAGGGATCACCATGAATCTAGGATTCTAGGATTTTACAATATTTCACATACTAATATATAGATATAGGACATGTTATCTAGTTGTTCCTAGGTTCTACATGTCCCAAGCAACGTGCCAGAGTCTCCTACACCTACAACCCTCATCCTTCTAGCTACCTCCAGCTCTGTCCCTCCATGTCTTTATCTCATCAACTGGACCATCGTTGAACATATACTTTCACGAGTCCCTGGGATCAGCTACTCAACCTCGTCAAACGTGTACCTAGAATTTCTACACAGAACTAACCACCCTGGCTGATCGACTATCTGTCCTCACTAGGTCCCAACTTGTCAGCGTCTCCACGCTCTATAATTCCCATCCTCTATGCGATCTTCAGCGTCACCTCCTCACCTTTCCCCCCTACCTCATCCTTTACCGAACCGACGGCCATCAAGGTCCGCGAGCGGTCACCGAGAAAGGTAACACCGAGAGCTCCGTTTTTCGGGTGTCTCGGCCGCTACTCGGGACTCGTCACCCAAAGGCCCGGTTTCCAGGAATCCCTGCGCGGTTTCGCCTAAGCGCGCCCGTGTTTCCTGGTATATCCAGCTGGCCATTGATAATCTAAATATAGACGCCACGAAGTCGGCCGTGTAGGAGGAAAGCGTGCCGCTCCCCGTTGACCTCATGCGAGTACCACGAGGTTATCGTCGTGTAACTCGCGGCCCTTATCGGTTATCGTTGCCCCCGCCAAGCCCGCGACAGCCGAAAAAAATGTGTTCGCCAGTTTCGCCGGCCGATTAATGGATAAATCGATGATCACCCCTCCGCGAGGTGCTCCTTCCCCGCCGGGGATAAGATAACCAGGAATTCTCTAATAGATACATCGGAGGAGCAACAAGAAAGTGGAATAAAAAGATGATACCGTCGCGAGATCGTAAACAGAAGAGTAACACGGGTGGAAAGGGTTGACGAGATTTGTTTTCGATGGGAGTCTGTGCACGAGGCTGGCTGCTGATAGCGGCCACGGAACCATGAATCCGTCTCTACGCGTGGCCAAGGGGTACACCGAGGAAAGCATTCACGAGATAATTGGGCGCCATCCGACGATTCTCTCCGCGATACCGAGGATTTGATACGGCGCTGGCTCGATTGTATAATTGCGGTGGATCGATAAGTTAGCTGCGTCGGTTTTGAAATGTTGTCGTCGGTATGGATCAGAATTATGACCTGGCCGATTTTAGGGGCCCGGAAGGTTCTTGAAGGTTCACTGACTTTACATTTCATTCCATGACACGTGGTATACTGATTTCCACGAAGTATCGATGGCATTTCATTTTCTCGTTTCGTGTTTCGTTATTATAACCGTAAAAATATGAAGATGGCGCTGCTTTGTACCAACAGAACGCTAGTACCGAAATAATCTGGAAAAATATTTTAATCGGATACAGTGATTCGCCATCGAACGAGATGAAAACGGCTCTACCTCAGATATTTACGATGGATTACATAAACGACATAACGGGAGTTCCTCGGGACGAGTCTCCAGTGGGGGAAGACGAAAACAGTAATTGAGCTAAGATAAAACGTTATCTTAACGTTCAACAATGTTTTCACAATACTACACGATTTAACTATCCCTTCGTTTATCGCCAGTAAATAAAATTCAATCGATTCGGTGTTCCGCAACCGTGCAACGACCGTGACGGTTTTCGTGGCCCGTAGAGGTTAGATCTGCCGCGCACGCGGAGAAGATTCCCGCCAATTCTGCTCAACGATGTGTTTACAATCTCCTAGAATTTTTTCGTCCCCTTTCTTTATCGTTCCCACATGAAATCGAACTTCTTCGTATCAATTGCAATTGTTTAGAAACAGCTCTCGCGTATATGTGGGTGGTGGTCGATCGGAGCGCATGCGCAGATCGAGATCCAAGTACTATTTCATCCAGGGGTAGTCAACAAGATTCTATTATGGCTAGTGATACGTTCGCGTGACTCATCGGGGTGTCGATAATCCGCGATCGAAATTAGTAAACAACTAATCGTTTGTTTCAACGAGACTTTTCCGGAAAAAAAGCCGATTGTGCGCGGCACACAAGGCTAAATAATTACTCGCTCGATCGCTCCTTATCTGTAACGCTACTCGCTTGCTGAATTCATCTTGCAACGATCGAGAACAATACCCTGATACTCGACAAACGTGGACTGTTGCTTTGAAAAAAATAATTTATTACTATCTGGTGACCCCCTCCCCCTTCCTGTCCTGATAAAATTTTTCGACTATGTAATGGTATCCTAGAAAGGCAAATCAGGCAAACCAGTGCACTAAGCCCTGGGTCGGCTCCCCAAACGCGTAGGGTCCAACATTGCACAAATTAGCATGAGGCTCCCACACGAGTGCCCAATACGTTCCTACGTTAAGACAGCCCTGTCCCGTGAGCTCGGTCCAACGTGATGCAAACTTCAACCTTATTCGTTCCTTAGCGAGCATCATCTCCACTCGTCAACGCCACGCAACGAAGGAGGCCCTCGCGCAACAATCGAGATCTGCCCTCGAGCGCTCTATCAACTTAGGACGACCAAAGCGCACGTCAGACTAGAAACGACCAATGCTGTTCGCGGAAACCGCCAGCCATGTTCCACAGTCGTCTATTTACCGCATACGCCGGAATATTCTCCGCGACCTGACACGATTCGACACGATAGTAAAGGATTGTTGACCAGGCTGGTGCAATCCGCGAGACGCGAAGGAAACCGGCCGGGTGTCTATTAATAAACGTTCACCTCGTAAAAAATCTATTACCCGGCCGGGAATAATTGCCATAATAAAGATTGTCGTTTCAATTATAACGCGGGACCATTAGGGCGCCGTTGAAACTGTCCTTTTTTCCTCTCTTTTCAATTGACTGACCTCTGAACCGATGTGAA